CTGTTCTGTTATTTTTTTAATTGTTACTTTTCTGTTACTGTTCATCTTCTGTTCTAGTTACTGTTCTGTTATAGTTATTCACTGTTACTGTTCCTGTTATGTTATAGTTATTCACTGTTATTGTTACTGTTCTGTTATATTTACTGTTACTGTTCTGCTACACTAACTGTTCTGTTATTGATACTGTTCCTGTTCTGTTAAAGTTATTTACTGTTACTGTTCATGTTCTGTTAAAGTTACTGTTCTGTTACTGTTCCTGTTCTGTTATAGTTATTCACCGTTACTGTTTCTGTTTTGTTATAGTTGTTTACTAGTACGTACTGTTCTGTTACACTTACTGTTCTGTTATTGTTACTGTTCTGTTATAGTTATTTGCTGTAACTGTTAATGTTCTGTTCTAGTTACTGTTCTGTTACTGTTCCTGTTCTGTTAAAATTATTCACTGTTACTGTTCCTTACTGTTCTGTTACACTTACTGTTCTGTTATTGTTACTGTTCCTGTTCTGTTATAGTTATTTACTGTTACTGTTCATGTTCTGTTACTGTTCCTGTTCTGTTATAGTTATTCACTGTTACTGTTCCTGTTTTGTTATAGTTATTTACTGTTACTGTTCTGTTACACTAACTGTTCTGTTATTGTTACTGTTCTGTTATAGATATTTACTGTTACTGTTCATGTTCTGTTCTAGTTACTGTTCTGTTATAGTTATTCACTGTTACTGTTCCTGTTATGTTATAGTTATTCACTATTATTTGTTTCTGTTCTGTTATATTTACTGTTCTGTTACACTAACTGTTCTGTTATTGATACTGTTCCTGTTCTGTTAAAGTTATTTACTGTTACTGTTCATGCTCTGTTAAAGTTACTGATCTGTTACTGTTCCTGTTCTGTTATAGTTATTCACTGTTACTGTTCCTGTTCTGTTATAGTTATTTACTGTTACTGTTCATGTTTTGTTATAGTTGTTTACTATTACTGTTCTGTTACACTTACTGTTCTGTTATTGTTACTGTTCTGTTATAGTTATTTGCTGTAACTGTTCATGTTCTGTTACTGTTCTTGTTCTGTTAAAGTTATTTACTGTTACTGTTCTGTTATAGTTCCTGTTTTGTTATAGTTATTTACTGTTACTGTTCTCTTTTTCTATTACTGTTATTCACTGTAACTGTTCCTGTTCTGTTATAGTTATCAACTGTTGTGAATACAGTTCCTGTTCTGTTATAGTCATTTACTGTTACTGTTCTGTTATAGTTCCTGTTTTGTTATAGTTATTTACTGTTACTGTTCTATTTTAGTTATTTACTGTTGTGTTACAGTTCCTGTTCTGTTATAGTCATTTACTGTTACTGTTCTGTTATAGTTCCTGTTTTGTTATAGTTATTTACTGTAACTGTTCTGTTGCAGTTTCTAATCTGTTATAGTTATTTACCATTAATGCTCTGTTGCTGTTCTGTTATTCTTATTCACTGTTACTGTTCTGTTACAGTTCCTAATTCGTTATAGTTATTTACTGTTACTATTCTGTTACAGTTCCTGTTCTGTTATTGTTATATTACTGTTCTTTTAAAATTATTTACTGTTACTGTTCTGTTACTATTACCGTTCTGTTACAGTTATGTTTTTGTTATTTTGTTTTGTTATTGTTCCTGTTACTATACTGTTATAATTACCTTACTGTTACCGTTCTGTTGTTGTTACTGTTACTATACTGTTATAGTTACTTTACTGTTACCATTCTGTTATTTTTCCTGTTACTTTTCTTTGTATTGTTGTAGTTACTTTACTGTTACTGTTTATTTTTGTTCCTGTTACTATACTGTTATAGTTTCTGTTACTGTTCTGTTATTGTTTTTGTTCTGTTATAGTTAATTATAGTCACTGTTATTATACTGTTGTTGTCATTTTACTGGTTTTCTTTCGGTTTTTTTCCGAAATCAAACAGTTAAAGTTACTTTACTTATAGTGTTTCTTTGGTGTTTCTATTTCTTACTTTTACTGGTATTTGTTTTCTACTATAATCATTTGTTTCAGCATCAATGATTTATAACTGTTAATTCTCTCTTACAGTACTTTAAAAATTTTAAATGTTAAGTTATAGGTTTTTGTAAAACTTCCTGTATTGTTTCAGTTTAATTACTATTATGTAACTTACTAACAATTGTTAACAATTGTTAACGAGTTATATTAATTAACATATTGCAGGAATCACGTGACAACGACATATGATCAACCATACTGTAAGAATACTGAGGATTCACTAGATTCGAAACATGGATGCTTACCATTTTCTACTGAAGATATTAAAGAACGGTGCCCTTGAATATTTAGCTGTTCAACAAATCTTTGAAACAATCACTTCTTTGCTCTGCTGGATCACCAGGGTTGAGGTATGATACTTTGTATATGTCAAGAATGATATTCAGAAAAAAGTCACATGTTTACAAAGTTCGACCACGTTGCCGATGTCGTCCTTCATGTCGTCTGGAAAAGAATTCGCCACACAATCAAATGAGATATAAATTTGACTGTAAAAAGTTAGTTACAATGTATCTTAAAATGTAGTGTAAAAAATCTCTTATCAGGACAGAGTGTTACATAAATGAGTAAAAAAATATGAAAAATATTGACCGCACATCTTTTTGAATAACTGTGTACGCAGTATCTTGATTTTTTGACAGTGTACGCAGTATCATAATGTGTATTTTCTGTAAATAGTGCGTTTTAAGTCATTTTTCGTACACAGGAAAAAGAATACAGGTTGAAAATATGTTTTTAAAATAGATTTCACAATACACAAACTTCCACTCGTCTGAAACTTGAAGTTTAATCGACAATTTCTCAATTTCTGTAACATTTCAACGCCGGGTGTACGCAGTATCCAGAATCAAAATAACATTCAACGCGAAATGCTGACGAGAAAGGGAAGAGTTGTGTAAAGGCATTTGAAATACAACAATGGTAGCAAAAGCGCAATACTATACAGTACCTTTGTTTTATTTGGGAAAAAGCGCGTGACACAATTGCAAGCGGCCACAAACTACTCAATCATGGTCCGGAAGTGTACAGCAAGAAACCCTTTCTTTCGTTTACAGATGTAGATTCATACAAAAAAGCAATATGCGCAGAAATTGGATGGGGTGAGGTGGGGATGGGGGCATAGGGGTTGAATTCCTTTCACTTTATGGCCGTGGCCATTCTAAGGAGATTTAGGAGTTACAGTCCCAGGAGTCCGGTCAATTCAAATTTTAGCCTCTAACTTAAAAACCCTCACTTGCATGTTTGAAAAATACGTACCGATATGTCTCATATTTTCTGTGAAAATTTCGTTAATACTAAGAGGTGAATTTCACAGCACCTTTTTGTGCCAAATTCGTACGAACTTGTCACACACGTGTGAGGAATTCGAGAGAATTTTTCACAAGTGTGACGAATTCGTTTTTTGTGAATATTGAGGTTCAACCCAGGTAAATGTAGCTTTTTTCAACAACAACCACAAATTATACCTATTTGAAGAATTCTAACTTACTTCTGTTAACTACATATAGAGTACTATTGTTGTACTCACTGATACAACTGATTAAACAAAAGGAACAAATTTAATTTAGATAAAAGCTTTTATTATGAAATGTTGTCATTAAAATTCAATTAAAACACAATCGTTTTCCATAACGCCTAAAATCATTAATACAAACAAAATATTAAATCACATTTCAAGCTAGATCAGATAACCTAGAGACAGCACATTTACAAACTAAACATCACATTACATGAATGTTGTTTTACAGACCCGAGTTCTTCTTTGATGTTTATGATGTTCATAAATGATATTGTTGATAATATAAATACTAGATTGTTCACATATGAAGACTTTATGTTGTTCCTCATTCTATACGCAAATGATCAGGTGTTATTTACATCATCAGAATCTTTGCAATCACTGAAGTATATTGTAACACATGGGGTTGAAAATTAATACTTCAAAAACAAAGGGGTTTTTTTTTCGAAAAAGGCAGCATACATTTTATTACTTTTATCTTTATAAAACTCTTTTAGACAATTTAACTTTTTTTAAATATTTTGGGGTATATTTTTCAAAAAATGCAATTTGGAATAGAACGCAGTAATGTATAGCAGAACATGTATCTAAAGCTCTACATAAACCATTTTCAATGTTTTTAATTTTCTACTAGTGACTAGTTAGTTGCTATTGCTAAGCAGTCCGAGGAATGAATTATAGAAAATATTCATCCAAAATTTGCCGGAAACTTTCATATGTAAAAAACTACAGAGAATTAGGGAGAGTTCCTTTGACTATCTATAGAAAAATAATTATAAACGTATGCAAATATAAATAATTCATACCGATTATTTACTTCCTGCAAATTTAAATACTTTTTTTTTAAATTTTAAAGCATATTTAGCATTTTAAATTCAATAAGAAAATTTCACTTTACTTAGAAATAGGAAGATGTAGATATCATAATATACATGTAGAACGAATTAATAGAAGTTGTAAATTTAACGAAGATAATATAGTTGAAGATGAATATCATTTTCTTCTTGTCTGTCCAATATATCAAGAAATTAGGGAAAAATACTTAACAATACTTAAATCTCACAATAAATTCGACAGACAGTCCACAGGTAACGAAAGACAACTATTACATTTATCAAAATATATATTCTTTTTTAAATAAATTAAGGACTAGTTAAGAAATTTGATATCAATTATATTTGCATTACTATTTAATTTACTTAAGTCAAATACATTTTATCTATTGTGTGAGCTTCCCTAAGCAAAATGTTTTTGATTGCTAATGATATTTCGTGTCACTTTTCACTTCATGTCAGTTGTTATGCTTAATTGCTAGATAAACGTTGTTGTTGTTTAAAGTAATTTGTCTAGCAATAAAGCAAAGCTAATTTATTATATGGATCGGTTCAACTTGTATATTAACACAAAATGCATTGATCAGAAAAAAACAACAACAATTCAAAACACATTCAAAACATAATATTTTGTCAAATCGACAGATGTACATGTATTTTTACTTTGCTAATGCCTGACAGAAATACATAGTTAATGCCATAATGATTTAAAAAGTAAATACAATGTAAAGGGGAAATACTCTAGTATGATCAAGAAAAACTAGATATCAAGAAGGACTTTGTTGCAGTTCTAAAACTTTGCTTTCTAGATCAAACAGATGGCTGTCCTCAACTCCCGGAAGTTCAGTTCTCACAGCATTAGCTAGATTCAGTAGATATTCTATGTTCTTGCCACTTGGCCCAACACTTCTGTAAATCTGATTGGCGATATCATCTAACGGCGCCGGTCCTAAATAATTCGGGTTGTCCTCCGTGCCGATATAAAGTACTAAATCAACATCTTCCGATTGATCACAAGGGTGAAAGGTCACTTTAACAGTTGTATATCCGCCCTTTTCTCTATGGTCTAAATGTTGTCTCACAGTTTCGGCATCTTGTTCGTGAATTTCATACGCAATACCGTATACCCTGTCCTGGAAATATGATTAATTGATGATTTATTAGAATTAAGAAATAATATCGGTCTCAGCGGTGTTAATCAGCTTTTTAACACCGGTTTGGAATTTTGATGCGTAAAAATTGACCACGAAGCGAAAGGTCTGAAAAAGCAAACGCCTAACTACAGTGTGATTGATCATATTCTTATGGAATGCCGGTAGGGACATGCCAATTTGCTTATTTGCCAATTGCTGAACTGCTTATTTGCTAATTGCCGATTTGCTTATTTGCCAATGGCTGATAGGCTTAATGACAAATTTGCTTATTTGCCAATTGCTGAATTGCTAATTTGCTTATTTGCCAATTGCTAATTTGCTTTTTTGCATTTGAAATAGTTTACACTGTGCCGGAAGTATATTGAAAATCTGACTACAGACAACCAGTTGAGTCAGATCTGTTAACCTTTACCAACAGTATTCATGTAAATTCAGTGTTTTTCCAAGAACACCGTTGGTCAATGAATTTAGTTGCAGTGACGCCTACGCAGATATATGTCTACAACTGATGGCTGACATGTCCTTGAGAACACAGACGCTTGGGGTCAGATCCCGTACCCCAAAGTGATACGCCCCTGTTTACAAACACTCTATTAAAAATATTTTAATATTTAAACACAAACAGGACATCGATAAAACTGGTTTTCAAACAATTTTTACATAATTATACCGGTATGGAAAAAAAACCATATACCACCAAGTCTTAATAAAGTACTTAATGATTTTTAATTGTTGTAACGGATGTCCAATTCGTATTTAAATATTAAAATAGTTTTGATATAGTGTTTACAGAGGCATATCACGTTGGGGGGCAGGATCTGACCCCCAGCGTCTGTGCTTGTGAATGCCTAATAATATGTTTGTGCAGCTGATGGATGGCAACATATATAAGTGAAAATTATTGGGTAAAGATTGAAAATAAAAGAACTTGAAAACAAAACTATTGCTTATTTTATGGCATATAAGATGTCGTTATTCTCAGCAGATTTGTCACGGAGGGCCTCATTTTAGTGGTACGAACAAATAGTATCACGAATGATACATTTGGTGCATGCTAAACACGGGTGTTTGTCTTTGCCTTTAAGCAATAGGCTTCGTTTTTAGCTCTGTAAGATTTTGAGATCACTTATGCCTGTGTGTTCTTCAACATTTTGCTTTGGTTCAATGTTTTTTTGAAATTTAGTCACACTTTTCCATTTCTTCATGTTGAACATTTTACATGCCATCAGGTGACCATGACCATGATCATGACCTAGAGTATAATGGACAAAGCATCTTTGTATACTTTGTATGCATGCTGCCTAATGCTTATGTAAGGTTACAGTTAGATATAAGCAATAGTAACAGAGATATGACAGAAAAACAAAGGCTACTCAGTACAATAGTACAATACATTGGTGACCTTGACATTCAGTATATAACGGCACAGCTTCTTCATGTACTTTGTATGCATGCTTGTAACGCAATGTTTATGCAAAGTTGCAGTAAGATGCATGAATCAGCAAAACTAACAGAGATATGACAGAAAAACAAGTTACCAAGAAAACCAATGCATTGGTGTGTAGAATAGCATCCCTATTCTCTGAATAGTGGAGCTAAAAATGAAACTCAAGATAATTAAAAAAAACAAGCCTACTTTTTGAAAATGAATTTATTTTTTGCGAAATTGAATAAAAAGTATCCATATGTCTTTCTACCTATATTATAGGTAATGATGGATTGATCATAATTGTCACAAGTTATAATTAACAAAACTTTATAAACATAATAACATGATATTGGTTTATGAGCTTGAAATAAAGTCTACAAAGACTTGTTATGTCATATCAAACAAGAACTTCGCGAGTCGGACGTGTCGCCTGACAATAGCATACAAATTTATGTATATAAGCAAATAAGCAATTAGCAAATAAGCAAATTGGCAAATCAGCAAATAAGCAATTCAGTAGTTGGCAATAGGCAAAGTGGCATGTCCCTACCGGCATTCCATATATTCTAGGTAAGAGAAATAATAATGTTGTTTCAGGCGCAGACGGAAAAATGGCACACAGAGCAAAGTCCCATCGTGACTTATCCGAAGAGAGGGAAACAACAGGGTGTTTCAAATACTGGCGGCCAGACACCCCTGCCTTTATCATAGGGCAATTTCCTCAAACATAACACTATCCTTTTCTTATTTTCTCCAAATTGTTAAAAAAAATCGTATCATTTTTCAATCTATCTTTATAAAAACATAATGAAATGTTTCCTGTTTTTCTCAAGTATAATATTTCATTTAATTTATCAACCTATTTTGATAAGCTAAAAAGATTTCGTAAATATGACCATAACTGGGAGCGAATATTCAACATTTATACGGTATACAGATTTTAAAAATTGTACATTCTTATTAATTAATATCCCCTAACAGCTGTCTTCATCATTTTGCGGTGTATAATTATACTGTCAGTAAATTAATTTATACAACATATGTTGTGAATTTTAAGTATGTGTACGTTATGTTCACCACACATTATCTTCATAGTCATATCATAATGCTACTGTAGACAAAGGCTTATTTACACACCATGGGAATTTATGATGCTTGGACAATTATACTATCATTAAAGTACAATGCTGTCATTTGTAAAATTCTACAATTTAGATACTCTACGCCCACACAAAAGCTGTTGGTATGAAAATTGATAGCCTTTTGTAAAAATGAAAATGTTTAAACTTAAAAAGCTTTAAAATAAAATAGGAACATTTAAATACATGTAGTACAGTTGAACTAGCTGTAACATAATATAGAAGTAGTTCATGTAAGTGATTGTTTGTTGATGAAATTTACACTACACACTCAATTAACGTTACATTTGTATGAAGAAAAACATTGCAAGTGTTATCGTATGTTTAAGAGTTCTAAATAAATACCAAGTTATATGGAACATTATTAAGAACAAAACTGGTGATTATTTTTTACCTTATTCGAAGCGGGTACTAATGTGACCACACGTCCTGGCTGAAATTATACAAGAAAACTTTGGTACCAAACATTTTGTGTCCGTACATTTTTTTAATAGTTTGAGAAGATTTAAGACCTAAACCTTTTTGTTATTGTAATAAACGTTAACAATACTGTATCATGATCTTTTGGTCAACTAATACTTAAGATAATGTTTACATGTACTAAATAAACCGGTTTACATTAATGTCGAGTACGGAACTTAAACTTCTTAAGTATTTTATGTGAAAATAATGGTTAAGACAAATATAGGCCTAATACAAAAACTTATTATAAACTCACATCTCCCGGAACTCCTCTGTGGTCTGTACTCCCCTGCCAGAACCGTCTCTGAAAACCTGTGATATACCCTGGCACCCTTCGTTTTATGGGAAAATCCACTTTCCAGATAAGAGATCCGTATCCAAACACCCACATTTTAACGATAACCTAAACGTTACTAAGATATATCTTAATATGACAGATAAATAACTACGTTGTGTACAATAAATGCATAATAATGACAGCAGTTAAATCAATAACGTTATTGTGTGCCACTATATTGTATCAGCTGTGGCGGATATCCGAGAGTTCTCACTGCGCATGTCTGTGTTTACTTGCAGACTTGGCACGCGCGGATTTTGAGATCTGCCAAAAATGATAATAGATTTGACCGCGGTCCGCGTCTGAAACCAAGATAACAAAAAAACTTAGATATGCTGACCAGATTAGAATCTAAAGTTGCTTATATAATTATGTTCATATGGCTTTTATAAAAATAGATCTACTAGCTAAATCTACTTCCAGCAGACGATGGAATATGTAAATTCAAAAGTAGAACAAAATAAAAATAAACAAAAATAAAGATATATATAAACTTGTACATATTTATACAGCATAATTAACGAATCACTTTGTAAAGAATATTATATGTAGATTCTATACATATTGTATAAAATTGCTAATTAGATACACACATGTTGCTAATTATGATAGAGCTGCGGGACAGACCTTATATACATGTATATCATATGTACTAGATAAATCAAAATATTTCATAACACTATATACATTGCAACTGTTATAGATATTGCTATATATATATTGCAATAAAATACACAAGATGCATTAATTTTAAGTCTATATTAAGAGCTATTTAAACAAAATTTGCACACTTCAATGATGAATTAACTAAAATTTAAATAATATGCTAATATAAGGAAGAAACCCTGTTGGTTTTTATTTTCAATCGCAAGTTCAAATCTTCAAAAATATTACATCTAAATAGAAACTGCCTCAGTGCTGTTGAATGACATAATTATTATGTAAAGTCAGAGGTAACTGAAAGTTATATCACTATAAAATTCAAGGGTATGAACATAAACATATGACAAAGAAAGGAATAGGCGTGACAAGATAAGACGTAAACCTAACGAACTGGGAGAATTTTGCACTAGCTGAAATGATAACAACAGCAACAAGAACAGCAGCAGGGGAAAATATCTGACCCTGTGTTCACTAAGACTTAAAAATCTGGATCTAGATAAAAATCAAATTTTAAAAACTCAAATACATTGTAATCTCCGTTGTTTTGATCTGATTATTTTTTGTATTTATTTTGTTTTTCGTCGATGCTTAGTATACCTAAATAGTTATTTCTAAATATAGTTGATTTAGTTTTTTTGTTTTTTTTGCAAATTAACATTTTTTTCATTTTGTTTATGTATCATTTACTTCTAGCCAAAAACGATCAATTTTTGGTTTTATAAAACAATGAAAACAAGCAATTATCATAGTATTGATTGAATGAATGCAATCCATAAGTCCCCTACCGGTTAGAACCCCAGCAACATTCTGAAGGGCCATTGGCCATTCACTAATGTTTCAATTTTTCTCTATTTTAAGTACTTGTTGGAAAAGTTCTTTAAAAGTGATCACAGGAAACAGTTTTTATGAACAGATAGACAGACGGACTGAATGACACTCTAAAGTTAATATTTGAAAGATCCCTGTTAACAAAATATAACATTTTTAAAAGCAAAATTCTTAAAGAGGAGATAACTAGAAATAAAGATGCAATTTCATTAAAAAAATCAGTTCTTTTTGACTTATCACAAATATTGTTATATTTGCCATGTTTTAAGCCAATTTTTTTCCAAATAGGAAGAAAAGATAAGACATGCATAATCTCCAGACTGCCTTCTACCCATACGTCAAGTTTCATAAAAATATTTCTTTTACTTTTTGCGTTAACACTGGATCCAGTTTATGTATAAAATTTGCCATATGTTCAGTCTATTTGTTGCCATAGCAACCAGAATTTTCAACATAGGAAGAAAAGAAAAAGACGTGCATAATCTCCAGACTGCCATCTACCCATATGTAAAGTTTCATAAAATATTTCCAGTACTTTTTGCGTGATCCAGTTTATGTGTAAAATTTGTCATATTTTCAGTCTATTTGTTGCCATAGCAACAAGAATTTTCAACATAGGAAGAAAAGAAAAAGACGCGCATAATCTCCATACTGCCATCTATCCATATATCAAGTTTCATAAAAATATTTTCAGTACTTTTTGCGTTATCGTTGGATCCAGTTTTGTGGACGGGCGGACTGACAGACGGATGTTCTAACAGGAGAGTAATGATGTGGCTACTCTATTGTTCTTTTTGCCACACAAAAGAAAATAGCCACATAAAAGCAGTACGGAATGAATGCCATCAAAGAGAAAGAACAGTTACCTATTGTCCCTCTAGCCACATAATTACTGTCCTGTGAGTGCGGACAGACACACAGACGGACGGAGGGTAAACCTCCGGTAAACCGGTAGGGGACTAATAAAATCAGGGTCTTTATTTGGGTTTTACGTCGCACCAACACGCTATATATGTTATATGTTTACTCAATTACTAGTAGAAGAAGACCTCAGATGTCCCTCCGTGCATTATTTAAGGCACAAACGGGCACCTGAGTAGAACCACCAACGTTCCGTAAGCTAGCTGGGTAGTTTTTCTCACATGAAAGAATCATTTGATACTGGCCCTGATCTTTTTTTCAGTGAACCCGATTGAATTGAATGCAATGTACATGTATATCAATATATTGGGACTTACATACAATTATACATGTATACGAATTACTATAAACATGTACATATTTCGTACATTATCATTTTTATACTGATATACGTATTTGTTTTAACATTTATAATGGTGTCCGTTTCACCTAAACACAATGAAGTAGAGAAAAAGAACACTGAAAATATATTGCATAAAATGTATGAGATTTATTTCCTTTTTTTTTTTTGGCATTAGCCCCTATTACAGAAAAAAATATGCATCAGACGATAAATTGATATCATAAATCTACTAGTATCACATTTTTGCAGTTTCTGTACGAGTAGTATAGAAGGTCTTCAACTCGTTCAAAACGCAAAATAGAATCATTGGGTAAATGTACGTGATATATTAACCTCAATGTACTTTAGAGAGCAAATTGCTTCTTTCTATATTTAGCATATACAGATTTGAACCACTGGTTAGTTTTGTTCCCTCAAGCGTTCTTTACAGATTAAAACATTAAATTTGATATTTTGATTGTTGTTGCTCTTGGAGACCCTGTGTTAAAAGGGAACCGATTTTACTGAATGAGGACATTATCAGGAATTTTAATGTAATCCATCAAGCTCATCAAATTATGTTTAACGACCACCAGCTTAACCTGGGAAATAACGAGCATATGTATCTAAACTATTCCATTAAAGCTGCAGGCCCCCAGATGAGCCAAAATATTTCAAGAAGAATTGACCAAGATTTTAAGAAAGTTAAAAGATTCAAGTAATAATGTGCGATAAAAGACAGATTTTGCAATATTTTACTACCCTAATAACTACATTAAATTGAAAACATATGAAACATTACAAGACTGCACAGAAGGCCAAGTGCCACAACTCTTCACTGCATTTTGACAAAGTTATGCACCTGTTTAATTTGGAAAATGTCCAAAAATATACCTTTTAATTAACTTTAAAGGCCCATTATGCTTCAGAAATGCTACCAATTTCCTTTCTCAAAAACATTTATTTAAGGTATCTCATTAGTTTTCAAAGTAATACTCAATTGCCATATACATGGACAATAGCTCTTTTGTCAGTCAGTATGATTAAAATGAATGAGTATTTTGTATGGAAGTCAAAATACTACTTTGTTTACATTTTACTACTTTTATGACAAATAACTGCACGTTTAGTTCTACTTTCTTCAGTTATTAAACATCTAACATGCTCTAAATCCATAATTCAAATACTTTTAAACTAAACTGCATGTTTGACATTTCTAAAGAATTGAAAAAATATATTGATTTCTGAAGCAAAATGTGCCTTTAAAATACAGTGCATCCATACACATGTATATCAATTTGAAACTTAATTGAAAAAAAAAAACAACACAAAATAAACTACGATAGTTTATGCCAAAAATACTGGCATTCCCATCTTTCCAAGGCAATTTCTCTCAAAGACATGCCTTTGTTAAGGCATGATTCGCTGAATACAATAGTTCTAGATTTGATAAAAGGGATCATAACAAAGATATAGATATTGAAGAACAGAAATCAGAACAAGATTATGATTTCTGTATACCTCCTTCAAAGCTATGTTTGAAGAGGATATAATGAAGAAATTTTCACTGTAAAAAAAATCATACAAACTAAAATAATAATTGTGAATTTTTTTATAAAATATTTATTTACTTTAAAGATAAATGTTACAAAATAGCAAATATTCATATTGCACTTTGCAGACGACAGAACACTCAAATTTGAAACATTCCAGGGCCAATATATGTCATAATATATATTGAATAACACAAATCATACAAATATTGGGATTAAAACAGTTTTCATAAAATACAAATTTTAATGCCTAAACCAGGTGTGTTTAAATAAATATCCTTGATAAATTTTCTATATTCTGAACATTTGACCATTTAATGTCAAGGTCATTAAAATGTCAAGGTCAAAATGATGGTTTAAGCTTATTATAGGCAAGGTCAACACAGTCAGAACAAAAACAAAAAAATCCTGAATTGACCTTTTGATGCAGCAGATAGGTAAGAAGTGAAGTATATGAGGCGCAATAGTGGGTGAGGTGTGCTTCAAAACTTACCACCCACCCCACCTGCTCTCCTGCCATTAAACTCATGTACATATACATGTATGTTATTTTATTATTTAAATTAAAACAGGCCATTGAAGGTTAAAGGGATGGTAACATAATTGTAATACATGTATATGAACAAGATGCAAAACCTACCACTGCTTTATTTTAATGACATATCCTCCTTATCAAGCCATTTTAGCTGCCAAATGACTGACATTCAATATGTGAAATGTGTAAAATTTATATCATGAAAGAATTTGACATTTCAGATGAGAAATATTGTCACTTACTATGTTTATGCAAACAAAACAAACCTCACTTGGTACTTCTCCAATATTTTAAAGGTTATATAAATCAAATTTGAAAAAAACAACAGAAACAGTAATATCAGAATAGTAAATGGTGAATTTATTAAATATCGGACAGTCGGTTGTTTTGTTGGGTTTTTTATATTGTAACAAAAGAATAGTCTTGAATCACTACACATCTACAAAAATATCTTTACTAAAATTAATAGATACATTAATAAGAGATTCATAAATTCAAGTTAATATTATAGTTTCTAAAATAACAACTTCCAAGTAAGATAACAGAAAATATCAATAAAATAACACAACTCATAACATATAAAAGTAGGCCCTGCAGATTCTTTCAACAATTAAAACAAGAAATAACAACACACTGGTAATTATTTTCATCTTATCAAGAGATGGTTTTCTTCATCCAAGAAACTAGTGCAGGATTCCAACGTGTTACTTTGTCGTTACCTTGGTTATCAGGTGATAATTTATTAACTACAGGAGCAATCACTGGTGGGGGAGGGGGTGGTGGTGGGGCGTTGGGAGGTGGAGGCGGCTGAGCTGTTACTTTATTAGTCACTGTCTCATTCCTAGATGTATTTGATGGTACAATATCGGATGTAGTCATTGATGAAAGTCTGTCACTTAAAATTGTATCACAATCTCCATGAGAATTATCTACATATTTAGTACTTTTATTCTCTTCTATCACATCTTCATGTAATTTGTCCACTTGTGAAGATTCTATATTTTTGGCAGTACTTCCTAAACTCCCTATCAATTTATTTGCCTGAAATAGACAATATGGAATACATTCAATACTCATCAATGCAAATTGACAAAGACCTCACATGCCCTGTGTGCATTATTTCAGGTACAAGCATGTACCAGACTCATTAAAATCATACCCTGACTGACGCTCCACTACCTTTCACTAGGTAGGAAAGATTAATGAAGCAAAAACAATCATCTGACTTTAATGTGATTGAAGCAAGCACCTGAGTAGAACCAACAACCTGCTATTGGGTAACTGGATAGATTATTAACTTGTTATGCTTATGATCTCTACACAAAATCAATATAACTACAGTAAATGGGACAGTACAAACATTCAAAATTACTATATGAAAACATTATATAATTACATTTCTTTTGATACTTTTGTTTTGTTGAAATTGGGTTTTAAGTCACACTAAAATCAAATTATTGTGACTTTCAAGCTTTACTGATTGAGGAAAGCCTCAGGTGTTCTCTCCATTGATAATTTCAGCCAAATATGGGCAACTCAGTAAAACCACAGACCTCCCTTAGGCTCGTAACCACACATGAAAGAATCCAAAGTTCCTTGTGGGATTTGAACAAACAATGGTGAAGCCAAACTAATTCAGTCAAGGACCTCAACTACTCACATGGCCCTATTATTTTGACACAATCTTTTTTCTACTTTCATAACAACATAGTGAGTATATAAATATGATATTGATCAAAATATCACAGACTTACGAAATGTTCCGGAATGATATCTGTATTAAATGTAACAATGGGTGAACAGTACTCGTATCCAAGATGTTCATAAAACTTCTGCTTATCGTGGGTAGTTAAATACATCACTTTATATCCTCGGCTGTAAACAATAACATAAAAGTAAAAATAAATATAAAGTGACCTAGATAATAAACATTTATTATAATGAACATTTGTAACATACAGTGTACTTTTCATTGGATTCCTTTGATAATTGCATATACTTTATTCATGGCTAATATCAATTTATAAAAAAAATTTTTTTTTCCCTTATAAAGAAAGTTTGGGGTATGATAAATTGTTATAAAGATTCTTGACAGATATTATAGCCATATATAACCAGTTGTTTGCAATATATCCCTGACCTAGTGATGTAGGTATAATCTTTTAAACTTATAACATATACAGTACCTATATGTAGGTCTATACAAAGAAAACAAAAAAAGACCTGTGTAAAATTGCATAAATAAATCATGCATGTAAGTGACCAAGTGAAATAAACTTCTACTTCATACTGAGAAAAAAAATTCAAATTCACAGAGTAAACTTTAAAAGAAACAAACTCAAATATCTGGACAATCTTTAAACCAGTTATGCTCTGAAGTTATCCTTCAACTAGCTTGAGATGTTATTATATTTATTTTTCATAGTTTCACAAACAAATAGTCATAGATTGCTGCAGCAGTACCAGAATTGGTTCGATCCCCGGGAGATGCTTTGGTAGTTTAGCGCGGAGGAAGGTAGTCTCGTACTGGTGTAACTCTCCAGGAACGATGGTTAGGAAACTACCCGCCTATATGACTGAAATACTGTTGGAAAAAGGCGTAAAATTTAACAAACAAACAAACAAACAAACCAGAATTTGATACAGACTGGCTGCCAATCTTCTCTTTCATCTCAGATATTTCCGAGAACCATCACAGGGGTAAAAGCATGACATTGTCTAGCATATCAGATTGGCATTTCTGTTAGTTTTACCAATGCACAATTAATTTGGATGACGTAATTTACTGTTATGAATGAAGTTGTAATTTCATTATAATGCTGTTGTAAATAGTTACAGGTGTTATGACATAAATTTCCATGAAAATTGTTTCATTAAGGTAAAGAGTTTAAAATATAATGGAATATGGAAGAGTATGCAAGATAAAATATCTGACATGCTTGGGGTTCGGATTGGAACATCTGTCCTTCGGGAACCTGGCATGGGCGGGTCCTCTCGGGACGGATATTCCAATCCAAACGCAACATATGACAAATATTATTATTGTATGACCATGTTATATTAATGTCTGGTATTAGTTCATAAGTATACAAATCATAAAGAATATTATGCACATAATCTAATATATGTATTACTTACCTTGCAGCAAATTCCTCAGTTTTGTTCATAACAATGCGCCCATAACCTTTGCCTCTGTGACTCTTCTTAACAACAACTACAACAAAATACATAAAATTCATGACATAGAATATACAGTAACATAAAGTGTATAAAACAATATAACTGCTGCAAAAATTAGTGTTTGAATTTTCAAAAAGAATACTTTTAAAATGCTTATATGAAACATATCATTTCCATAAAAGTAATCGGCACATGCAAGGAAAACAAGAACACAATATTTTGTTCCAGAACATTTTATTCTTATATTCGCCAATGGCAAAAAGCAAGTCTCCATAATAGCTTCGCTTTTTCTTTGAATAATGTAGCTAATATTGAACAGATCCAAATCCTTATTCGAAAAAGGATAAGTCCATTAAAGAAATCTAGTATGTTAAGATTTAATTTGCATTTTTTATTGGGAGGGGGGGATGGATTTATATAATATCTACACTGAAAAGGTCATAATGGTGAAATAGAACCTCAGATGCCCGTCCGTTTATTTTTTCAAACACAATGCATGTTAAATTGAATTGAAATTGAAAATATTATAAAATGTTTGGGTAAATTCATTTTAAGCCATGGGTTGTTTTAAAAATTGAAAAAAAAAATCACTGAACTTTATCACAAGGAAATAGATATATAAACCGGTACCTGATTCAACCAGACAACTCTGTACAGGCTGTCCACGTACTATAGACAACATACTATGGCCAACAACAAACTGTTTCCCATTATCTTCTTTCTTTAAAAGTACCAGGCATATTGGAAAATTGTCTTTAGATTTCTCTAAACTGTATAATCTGAAGTATAAATATCTTCAAAAAATGGCAATGTCTGTATTTTCTAAAGCTACATAAACTTCTTGAATTCATGAGTAGGTTTGTTATACTCTTTCACTTTTAGAATCAGGGCTTTATTTCCTTCTGAACTGCAGGGGCCATTATAGGGCTGCTTCCCCAAAGTAAAATTCTTTAAAATCATGCAGTTTTCCCAAAAAATAGAATTTACATCAAGTTTTTTCTTCCCCTTTTGCAAATAAACCTTGTAATTTTCCCCCAAAATTAAGGGCAGGGCTGCTTCCCCAACCTGTGAAAAAAAGCCCTGAGAATGGAGGCAGGGCCCATGGAGAGGTCAGGAACTTGTCCTTGATGGGATTAGGGGGCAATCTTAAAATGGATAAAACAGTAAATTTAATGTTAATTATGATGCAATACCAATATTTAATGCCTCCTCTCTGTCCCAATCATGATAAAACAGATCTAAAAACTAAAAAAAAAATTAAAAGGGGAATGGCCCTAAAAATGCACTGTGATTATCAACATACTAATTTAATTATATAGATGGTTTAATATAATCGATTTAAGGCTGAATCCTTAGATAATCGCCCTATGGCAAGGTTTGTAAGGTTTTCACATAACCAATGAAAATACTCCATACAAAAAAGGGAGAAATCTGCTGCGCCAGTTACTTTCATTATTTGACATATATTTATATTGGAAAAAAGCTTTGTTGTAATTTCATATGACGATTTGATTGAACAGTAATTACAAATAATAAATTAATTTTATCATATGTAAATGCTCAATACAAAAAAATATTCATTTATTTCCAGTAATTTTCACAAAAACCCAGCAGTCACATCTCAGTTGACCTACAATTGAGGTGACTTTTGTGATTAAATACAAATGTATCTACTTATTACTTTAAATAATTGTAATGACAGCTCTGTTTCCAAGTACCAAGATTTGAAATTTGGTGGAAAAATAATGGAGTTATGGAGTTCACATTAAGATGAGTGCTAAAATTGAGTGGCAAGCTGCATAGAACTATATAATAATAATTTATAAATAATATGACAGTAACAAAAGCTGAAATATCAGATAGTTCTACATCTTATTCTATTTTTTTTCTATTTTTTGAAAGTCATATACTAAAAGTATTTATACAGAAATATTTGTTCTTGTTTGTGAAAAAGAGTAGATGATGTAGGACAATTAGTCACTAAAGTGGGGCGAATCTTTATGGGGCGAATGTTATGTAGAGCGAACCAATAGTCAATACCAATTAGTTTTTATTGTAATTTTAATACCTCGCAGTTAAACTTCTTTTCCACTCTTCGTTAAGAACTTCTGCACATTCATTAATGAAACCAGGAACCTTATGGAGTGCTTGCAATTCCATCTTTGGAGTTGTGTGTTTTGATTGATTCCTAAATAAATTCCGCGTCATTGAGACGCATGGTCAAACCATTCTATTGAATAAACCTTTTCCTTACATAAAATCAACATAAGAAATAGATTCATAAAATGTAAATAAATATCCCTTTTAATTTAGGAAAATTTATTCAGTCTAATAAATGGTCGTCTAAAAGGACATAGACATAAAGCAGACAGAACTGGTAGCAGTAAGCAGACAAGCTGTCAAAAAACTTTGAAATCAAGCGTCTGAAGAAACATGGATGCAAACAACCCACCTCCACCACTTTCAGCCAAGTTTAAAGAGTTGAGTATTAATTTAGGATTATTTTATGAATTTTCTTTCGTCTTTCACATCGATATGATTATTTTTACTGTCCTTAGACTCGAAGGTCCAAATTAAATGGTACAAATTTGAATTGTTATAGGTTTTCGCGACGAGAAAGCTTAAAATCGAGATGTTAATAATTTTAGGTATCATTGTTACACAGATAAAAGGTTTAATATTAATTTGTCAGTGAAAAAAGAGTCAGAAAATGAATCGAGGGGAAGGTCGTTTGACTAGGCTATTACAGAAAGAGGACTTCATTGAGGTTTTTTGACACATCACTCAACAGACAGAACATGACTGGAAAAAATTTTCCAACATTTGTGTACCATTTGATGGATGTCTGTACCAAAAAAGTATGTGCAAATTTACAAAATGTTTGGACCTCAGTGGTGTTGCTATAGATGACATACATATTTTGGAAATACCTATCTATAAACTGTGATTGAGTAGCTGTAGATGACACATATACTTGCCTAAGGAGTGAAATAATAACTTCAACTTGCGATTATGACGAACCACAATTCAGAGTTGATGGTTCAATTCTTGATTTGTCATTGCTGTATTTTGATTTGATTCTCTTTTCTGATGTAAATTAAATGTTTCCTAAGCAAGCATTTTGTCATTAGTTATGCATTCTCCCGTAATCAATTAAAATGGGTGTAATGTAAACACTAAATGTTTTGTTTAAAAATGGTAGACAAACCACAAATTGTTGACACACTCATGGGTCACAAAAGCAAGTGTCTTTCGGTGTAGCTAAATATAGTTGTTGGTATTTTTTTTATTATTCCCAATAAAAAATTACAGTCTAACTTGCCGATGCGACCACATGTATTAAGCGTCTTTTGTCTTAAACGACCACTTTAATTTCCCCCGATCATTTTCTCTCTATATTTTTAATGTATTAAGCGACTTTTGCTCAACGTGACCAGTGACCGCTAATTAGTCACCTAATTGAGAGCAATCTTTTCATTAAACGGCCAATTTTACCTGTCAAGTAATTATGTTTTTAGAGAACGCCGCCTGACGTAATGTCACAAGTGTCAACAATCAAAACACAACAAATAAATGTGTGAAAAACTCTATTTCCCAAACCGTTTTAGCATAAGCAAATGAAGTTAAGTATACGCTTGTTGTGTATTATCCAAAAATATCGATTAAACAATGCAACGCTCTGCCCCTACTAATGTGGTATATACGCTTCACTTGTTTACATTTAGCCTGCATTGAATTGACCTTGAACTTGATCAGCAATTAAACTAGATGTAGTTTGTTTATTTCGAATGAGAAATGCACAACAGAAAAACATCTTCACTAATAGGGTTTTCATGTTGAAGACAAGGAAAAACAACGAAGAAGTCAAAAAATTCTGGAAAAATGTCAGACATGTACGTAAAGGATCAAAACTGTTTTGTCAATAAATATCAGAAATTTATTTTTTACATTGGCATCCATTTAGATTCTCGAGCGTACTAATTATTCAACATTTATATAAAAATGAAGTTGTTAAACATTCCCACCGCATAAGAAAGATGTCATTTGTAAATTTTGACTTTTATGTCATACTTTGTCTTAAGAGACCGTTTCATTAAGCGACCGTTTTGGGTGTTTCCCTTGCGCGGTCGCTTAATACAAGTTTGACTGTAATGTTAACATAGCCCGAGTACTCGAATTGAAAATCAAATTAAGAGAAAGGGAAATCGATGCACCCCAAATGCTTTGGCAGTAATAAAATCATGAAGGCCAGAAGTCATGAGTGATAAATTACAAGGCATATATATGAATGATAAACCATGTATTATTATATTTCATTGCAAAAGAAATAGTTACTTTTTCCATTCTAACATGCTAATGGAAAGAGTATTGATTAAAATATGATAAACTTTTTTAACACAGGGAAGTTGTTTTCAAGATGCCATTTGCTTTATTGCAGGGAGCGTTCTTTGTGGCGATTTTCTAGCATTAAATTCAAATTGGTAAAATCCAAGAACATTTTGCTCTTCTTATTGCCAATCACAGTCAAGTGCATGTGTGTTAACAGTTAAGTCAATGTTTCACACTTGTCAACTGGTATCAGCCAATCAGAGTGTGAGATTTTCTCAAAAATCTGGTAAATATAGCAGCTGAGGTTGCATTTTGTGTAACCAGCATAATTACAGATGCAACAAACACAGCATTCAATCATTGTTCATTTAAATGTTGATTTTATTTTGTTAATGCCAAGTTCTGAGTATTTTGATTACAATGCTACAGCCCTTAATTCATTTAAGAGTTAAATTTTATTATATATATTTCAGTTCCTTCGCTTACCCAACAGTAAAGGAGCGAATGCCATCTATAGTTGCAGGTGTAGCAGACACTGCCTTCAGAAGTAAAGTTTGGATAAAAGAAAAATATGGAGAGGTAAAATGTCTTTTTGAGAAGAAATTTGTTCCAGAGATAAAGAGGTCATTAACTGCCAAATATTTTGTTTGTTTATTTATACTAGTCGGCGTAGTCGCCAACATTTTGTTAAAAATAAAACATTCCTCTAGGACCTCAACCTACCAAGTATGTCGCAACACAGAAACAGGGAAGATTTAAAGAAGCCAAATATACATGTACATGTTTTTGCAGTACCCCCAGGTTTTAAAAAGATTGTAATATACCATGCTCATGTTTAGGTAAAATACTTTTATTGCAGAAAAAAAATGAAATCAAAAGAAATTCTTAATAAGTCAAATTCAAATGAGAGAATGCACAAACTATGTTTAGGAAGCTGCATTCCCTTTGGCTGATAAAGGTCCTTTCTTAATAAGCCTGCCAGTTGTTTTTGATGACACTATGTTTTCATACTGTGTTTACCTATAGTGTTTAGAGCGTAAATTTTAAACACAAGATATCTTTTCTGTGTCAGAGTATGTACCCGAATTCCCAAGATGTTTATTTTACATTTAAAAAGAGACTGTAATATAGCAATTAATTGTATTTACAAATGTCATATCTTAATTACATGCTCAAATTTAATCAAGTGCTTTTTATAGGCCAATGGATTTTTAAAACTTTTTTCTGCTTCTTTACAGTGATTTTCCATCTTATATAACAGACTCCAATTAAAGGCCTCTTCCCAATTGAAATTTTCTTTAAAATCATGCAAGTTTCCAAATAATCTGAACTTAAACCTGCTTTTTCATTCCCAAATTAGCAATTTTAGTGATAATTTTCCCTAAAATCAAGAGGCTAAGGCAGTATGGCCTCTTCCCAATTAATTGAGAAAAATCACTGCCTTATAATGTTTATTTTTGGAATTGTGTTTAATTCTTGTATGCATAACTTTATACTTCCCTTGTAGGAAGGATCTGAGGATCTAAAGAAGGTAGCTGGGGGTGTTTCTAAACTGAGAAATGAGATGATGACAGGAAAAGTTCTCATTCCAATTACTGACACTCGCTCTGATGTCAAGGTCAGATGAAAATTTAAATGGAAACTTATAACTAACAGATTAAGGTTAAAGATACAAGAAGCTTTATTTCAAATTAGTTTACAAATTATATAAAAAAAAAACATTAGCTGATAGCATAAACATGTTGTTAAAAGTTTAGTTTTCTGAAATCTGTTTTGTTATTGTATTATATAAACAATGTTATTAAATTTAACCCTTTACTTGTTGGGCTTTAAAGGGTTAGCCCTTGCCACCAGTATAGAGCCAGGTCAGTCTGCACTTCAAGTACAGTCTGACCAGGCTCTAAACAACTAATCTGTATTTATTATTTCAGCTGTGGAATGATTATCTAAGGGAGGTAACAGAGAGAGATGGTGAGGAACCAACCTGGTTTGTCTCCCCTTGGCTCTATGTAGAATGTTACATGTATAGACGAATACAGGAATCTGTTGAAAAATGGTAAACATAGACAATTAAACCTGCTGAAATTCTTAATTGGACTAATCAGCTTCTATTTTGGTACTGTCATGTATCATTTTGGTGATTTGGAGTTAAATAACCAACAATATAGAGTCAGACTGCATGGATGTGCAGGCTGGATTGGCTCTGGTGGCAAAGGCTAATCACTCTTGGTTCCAACATGTTTAAATCTCTAATTGCTAGTGTAGGGTTAATGATTGGCTTATGCCTCCAGTATTGATCTAGACCAACCTGTACACAGACCAGTCTTGTCACAGTCTGACTGGTCTTTTAATACTTATATTTACTATTTTGATAGCAAAAACCCTCACATTTACAATGGACAGTCCTTTTCAATTTGGCCAGGTCCATTATTCTAATTTAGGATGGTAAGGGTTTTATATTTTATACTCAAATTTTATATCAAGGCCCCTGATGATGTTTGACTTTTGCATCTGTAAGTGGGCATGTAATTAATGATATGTTCAGGCTTACTATGTTGACTAATAAGTCGCCACTATTTTTATGCTACCGGAAAAATTTTGGGGGAGCATATAGTCGCCGCCTTGTCCGTCCGTCTTTCCACACTCACGGGACAGTAATTATGTGACTAGAGGGACAATAGATAACTGTTCTTTCTCTTTGATGTCATTCATTCCGTTATGCTTTTATGTGGCTATTTTCTTTTGTGTGGCTTAAAAGAACAATAAAGAGAACAATAGAGTAGCTACATTATTACTCTCCTGTTAGAATGTCCGTCTGTCCATCTGTCCGCTTTTCTTGTATCAACATGAAACTTTGTAGGTTGATAGATCTCATTGAGTAAGTAAGCAGTGCACAAGAACCATAACTCTGCCTTGCCTAATTTTTGAATTATTGCCCTTTGTTTATTTTTACACTTTGAACTTTGTCTTGGACATAATTCTAAAGCTATAGGAGGTATCAACATGAAACTTTGTAAGTAGATAGATCTCATTGAGTAGGTTTGCAGTGCACAAGAACCATAACTCTGCCTTGCCTAATTTTTGAATTATTCCCCTTTGAACTTTGTCCGGGACATAACTCTAAAACTATAAGAGTTATCAACATGAAACTTTGCAGATAGATAGATTTCATTGAGTAGGTTTGCAGTGCACAAGAACCGTAACTCTGTCTTGCCTAATTTTGGAGTTATTGCCCTTTGTTAATTTTGACACTTTGAACTTTATCCAGGACATTTCTCTAAAATTATAAGTGATATCAACATGAAACTTTGTAGATAGATAGGTCTCATTGGGTAAAAGTGCAGTGCTAGGAATTATAACTCTGCCTTGCCTTATTTGAAGTTATTACCCTTTGTTTATTTTTACTTTTGTCTGGGACATAACTATTAGAGATATCAACATGAAACTTAGTAGGTAGATAGATATCATTGGATAGAACTGCAATGCTTAAAGAACCTAAACAAAGGCTTGTCTAATTTTGGAGTTATTGCCCTTTGTTCATTTTTACACAGAATTTTACCTGGAACATAACTTTGAAACTATAAGAGATATCATCAGGAAACTTTATAGATAGATAAATCTCTTTAAATAGAAGTGCAGTGCAAAAAAAACATAACTCCGCCTTGCCTTATTTTGGAGATTTGCCCTTTGTTTATTTTTTTTAATTTTCCTGTGTCCAAAACCTTCTTGGGGAGCATCACCCGGTTCAACCGGTTCTTGTTTCTTTAGAAAACATATTGTGTATAATGCATGACACTCTACAATTTAAATTTATTGGGAATAAACATGTAAATGTTTGTGCTTTCTGGAATATTTTTGCCTACAAATAAGAAATCTAGAAAGCCAAAAATTTACAATAAACAAGGTAGTTGCCCATTTGAACCTTTGCTCATTCTTCTGCCTGGCAACTTACTGTTTCTCATAGCTCATTCATTCATTCACTTATAACACGGATGCCATAATTCAGGCTGTCAACCAATTCCTATATTCCTATAAAACTCCTATATTTTGGGTCGGAATCCTATATTTTAAAAAAACCTCCTATTTTTCCTATATTCTCCTATATTTTGAATATTTTTCCTATATTTTTTTTAAAATATATTGCCAAGGAATTCAAAAAGGTTTAAATTTTGGTACTGCTTTTGGACTTTTGTATTTGACAGGTAAGAGAATGTGTATGCCTGCATCAGCATCACATTACTTATATGCTCAAGGCTGCTGAGCTCCATATAGCCATCTGCATTGTCACCATGAAAAGCAGTGCATCAGTTTGTCAACTTTATTTCAGGTGACCATTCAGATGATGGTCATGCATTGCTGTAACTTTCTGCTGATGCTGTGGTTCAAAGCTAATGCAGGCTGTCCAGCATCCCTTAAATTCCTAAAAAAGTGAAAAATTCGAAGGGAATTTCTAAAAATGCCTTATTTTTTCACTGAAATTCCTAATTATTTTTACTTTTGTACTAAACATACTTATAACGTGTAACCCTGTAAACATAACTCAAAGTCAACCATGGTTTGAACATTGTCAAAAATGATTTGGCCATGCTTTGCCAACTCAAAATTGATGACATTGAAATGGTTTCGTTTCAACTAAAAGTTACTTTGACTATGTCAGTAACATTGCTATTTCATAATCAAAGCATTTGTTGATAATCATGTTGACAGTAAAAATTAACAGCAAAAACACTACCATATCATTGTCCTGAAACTTAAATCATAACCATAAGAGTCCACTTATTCTGGAATATTTTGACACTGTTTTGCCAACTCCAGATATCTTGAATTTTGAATGTAGGACGAAACCCCACCAGTTAAAACCCCACCACTCAAAATTTTATAGAGTGGACAAAACCCCACCACTAAATTTTATAGAGTGGACAAAACCCCACCACTTAATTTTACAGAGTGGACAAAACCCCACCACTTCAGTTTTATAGAGTGGACAAAACTTTCTTGTAAACATGTTAAAAAACAAACACTTGTGCATCAGCAGAAACTCAAAAGAATGTGTGAACAACTCATTAATAAGGAGAAGACTGTACCCGCGAGTTTCTGCAGGCTATCAGCCACAGTATCCACTTAAACTAAGTACAATGAAGTACAATGAAGGAAAATTGACTGAACTGAATAAATTAGAAATGTGCTATAAAATTGTGCTATTTTTTAATCATTAATTGATGAAAATGTGCTACATTCTTGATTAATAGTAAGTAGTTTATTTTTTTTATATAAATAAAATGAAGAAATGAATTTGAAGAAACTAAAAATAATGGATAATTCAAGGCCATAAGTGTGGCACAGTCTCAAATAAATGACTACTCTTTGATGTTGATTAAACAGTTTGTAAATTATTTGTATAACCTCTTATATTACACAAATGTTATTAATATATTGAAATTAAAAAATAAAATGTGAAAATGTGTACTGTATATTATATATATTTTAATTCATCAAATCATGCCCAATAATTGGTAAGTGGTGGGGTTTTGTCCACTCTGTAAAATTTAGTGGTGGGGTTTTGTCCACTCTATAAAATTTAGTGGTGGGGTTTTGTCCACTCTATAAAATTTTGAGTGGTGGGGTTTTAACTGGTGGGGTTTTGTCCGTCTTTCATTTTTTTTGTTCATTTTATCCAAATTTCTGAAGTGGTCCATTTGTATCATATCATATTTGAAAATGATCATTATGAAGCTGTTGTTACAAAATCTATATTAAAAACATGTTTAAATAGTTGTCAAAAATTAATGAACAATTTGTTTACTCACAACTCTTTTATTTAAATCTTAATGATATCAAAAAAAACATTGTAAAGTACTGAATGGGTTAACATAGACTTTGAAAAATTAATTCTTTCCCTCATACTTATTTATTCTTTTCGTATCTTTGTAGGAGAAATTGCTTATTTTGCCACAAAGTTATCAATTTCATTCAGTTCTTGTTCTTTCATTCATATGGTGCATTTTAGGAAAGGAAGACTCATATAATTAATCACACTCAAAATAATTTGGCAGTTCAGTAATATAAAGCTCATTTCCAATTACAATGTACACACATTTTGTAATTATGTGATCTAGATAAACTGCAATTGAATGGTCTGTGTGATGAACTTTTTTTATGTGCAATTCTTTGTGTTGATAAATTTATTCAAATGACTGTAATAAGGCAAATGCCTTTTTACTTTTTACCTACCTTTACAAAAAATTTCATTTGTCCATAATTATGACTCAAAAGCTGTAATGTGCAAGAATTTCACTGTGTAAGAATTCCTTTTAGACCCTTGTGGTTATAAAATTCTGAAAACATAGGAAGAACATGTTCTTTTTGACATGTACAGCCATTTTAAAAAATATGGTTTGAACATGATTTGACTATGACCATTTCCGCAGGGGAGGCAGTTGACCAGTGAGTCCACACTGGTAGCACCTTTGCTCTATTACTCAACTAGAGCATTATTTGTGAGTTACTTTTGTGTCAAATATGCAAAGGTTAGCCCACATCATGGTCTTTTGGGACCTTAGTTTATTTAGTCATAAAATTGCAAATTTTAGCCCTAAAATTTCTTTTATGTACCCTAAAATTCCTAATTTTAGCCCTAAAATTTCTGAAATATTACCGTAAAATTCGCCCTAATTTTATGTCGGAAGGTGCTGGACAGCCTGCTAATGGTTTCCTTCACTTATAGGGTAGGCATTTTATTGTAGAAACAGCATGTGTAAAAGTAAGAATAATTTACATTTATATAAGCATTGGTAAGTTAAACAATTTAAGTTGAAAACTCCTATTTTTTTGCCTCAAAATGGTCCAAAAACTCCTATATTTCCTGCTAAAATATTCCTATATTCCTCCTATATTTTGGATAAGACCTGGTTGACAGCCTGCATAATTGAGAATCCATCATCCAGTTGGGTTTCTTGTTGATTAAGGCAAGTTACCAATACAGAAAATAGGTGATTTTGCTTTTAATCAAAGTAAGAGCTTGTGTTTAACATGTGTTTTATCACAGTGACAGGAAGAAGCATCTATTGCAATAACAGATATTTGATCTTGTTTATATAAAATACTATTTCTTTTTTTTTCTCGTATATTTGTTGAATATGTTTTCTTATATCTTCATTTTCAGCAATATATTAAACAAGTTTGACGTATTTATGGATCAGAAACGGAAGTCTCTGCTCGATTCTGCTCAACCTACATTAATACTGCTCAACTATCTAATGACTGTTGTGAACGACCTTGACTCCGGTGAAACATCTGACAAACAAAAACTATTCAAACAGCTGATGCAGGTAAATATACCTTACCACACTATATTTCAGAGACCGAAAATTCCACTTGTCCGCATTGTAATTACAAGTAGAATTTAAGAGAACTTGATGCAAGACAAGTAGAAAAATATTGCCTGCACATTGGATTTAGAAGCTACTCATTCTGCAGGACGAGTGATTCTGACAATTTATTTTGATGCCTGACTTTGTAAAATGGGCATGCCCTGCTTCTAATTTGGAACAGTTCATTTGGGAGAATAGGGAGAGCTTTTGGCATTGGCATTAGTGTGACGTCACACCTATTGTACTCACCCCGGTATCAGCATCGCTGTCACACGTAGGTTAAGTTCTTGCATGCAAGTTAGTGTCTTCAAAACTACTTAAGGGTATATGTTGAATCTTCATACACTTGTTCTCTGTGATAATCTAACATAATGGGCACATGTCTCATAACTCTTGAGTTACCTTTTTACAGATTTATGCCCCTTTCCGTAATGTCAGGCACCAAGAATTGTTGAGCATGCTGTCTCATGGACAGCTCTTGTTTATTTAAGGGATGTTAAAATTGAATTGCCAAATGCCGTTACAGTGTAAATTTATGCAGTTTTACCAGGAACTTATTTATATTTTTGCTTCTTGAATTATTATACTGATATCCCTTATACTAAGAATGGACTAATTCGGATTCAAATAGTACCATTATCCAAATGTAGCAGACTAATGTATAAAATGCTTCTGCATTATTGAGTTTAATGATATGGCAATTAATTGCAGTTATAGCTTGCCTAAACAGTTCATAATAGGTACTATTAAAGTGAAGTGAAGTTTAGTTATTTTATATTTAAAACTGTTTGGGTGTAGATCTATTTAATATTAGATATTATAGGTCTGAGCAAGACATATTTTATTATGTGAGAGATATTTAAGCTCCAAATAAGGAATGACAACTATGAGAAAAAAACTAGCATTTGTTAGTTAAGTTGTCTCCCTTTGTCCGACACTCAAATGATCTATGTATTATTTAATATTAGTGGATTTGTAAATCTTTTTATATGTAATGCAATAGTATGAGCAATAAAACTATAATTTATGTGTATTTTGAGCATAATGCTCTCATATTTATTGAAAATCTAGCATATGAGACTTATCTTTAAACACAATCTCATAGTGTACTTTTTTCGAAAGTAAATTTGAGCGGAGTCACGACAAAACCAACATAGTGCGTTTGCGACCAGCATGGATCCAGACCAGCCTGCGCATCTGCGCAGTCTGATCAGGATCCATGCTGTCCGCTTACCAACTCTATTACAAGTAGAGAAACTGATAGCGAACAGCATGGATCCTGATAAGACTGCGCAGATAAGCAGGCTGGTCTGGATCCATGCTGGTGGCAAACCAATTATGTTGGTTTTGTTGTGACGCAGCTCATTTATTGATCAAATTGCAACCATAGATAATTAATTGTTGAATAAGCTAAATATTCTTGTGTCAATCAAAGTGGTTTTGTTGTCAGATTTTTTTCCAAGTATTTCTGTGTATAAAGAGTTAAATTCATACATTTTTGTGATGACATAACCCTTAACCTGCAGAATTTGAGCTTTGAATTTGGAGCAGGCCATTCAAAGTTTGAAAGAGCTCTACTGAAATCGAAAAGCCTAAAAACATTAAATATAAAATTCTTGTATAGATCAACTTGGGCAGTAAATAATGAGAAATATAAAAAAATATTTAAGAAATGTACTTAGAATTAAATTCTACATTAATTCTTATGTGCCTTTTAGCCTAATTTTAGTAAAAATTGTTTAAACGCTTTTTCCTTTCAAGGCCATTTTGCAGTTGAAAGGTTATTCTGAAAAAAATCTAAAAAAGAAAGGAGTGACTGAATGATCAGAAATTTTCCACACAATTTATGGGTCCATATTCAATCAGATGGTATAAAAAATTTCAAATCTTAAAAAAAAACAAACAACAAAAACCCAAATAATTCCAATTGTGTCTGGTTAAAAACTGTAGCAAAATTGAGCTAGCTTTACAGTCGTATCACAATATGTATTATATGTTATGCCTGTAGGGCTTTGAAAGATTGCTATATGACTATACTAGTATAAAATAACTGAAGATCCAAAAAATCAAAGGAAGAATATATAATATTAACAATGGTTTAATATTTGCCAGTTTTTATGCCCCCGGGCATATAGTAATTGAACCGTCCGTCTGTCCGTCCGTCTGTCCGTACGAGGTTAACCTAGAACGGCAAGTTGGATTTTTCTTAAGTTCTACCTGTACCAATGGCTTCTAAGTTTACACACTTACTAATCAATACAAAGTACATGATCTGGGCAAGTTTCATAACTCTGGCTTTCATATTTACCAAGTTATTGCCCTTTTCAGCACTTAGAAAATGAATAATGGTTAACCTAAAACGGCAAGTTGGAAATATCTTAAGTTCTATCTATACTAATGGCTTTATAATTTCCACACTTACTTATCAATACAAAGCACATGATATTACCAAGTTATAAAACTGTGTCATCCATATTTCCCAGTTATTTCCCTTTTTTCACTTTGAAAATAGGGCCTTGTCTGGTTAACCTATTTTGGCAAGTTGGATTTATCTTAAATTTCTCCTAATTACTTAATTTCTTTACTGATATCTTTCATATTTAGTAGGTGGATACCTTTGATGGTCCTCTAATTTTTTTTGGAGTAAGCAGTCTCTAGGGTCAAGGTCAAGGTCACTGGTTTAAAAAATAAATATAAACCTTTTTGCTCATACAGCCTTTATTTTTTAGTTGATGTCTTAGTTTAATACAAACATCTCCTTCTTTGGGTGTAGTATGGGGTCATTTGGGTCAAGGTCAATGTTACCAATGTCAAGGTCACCAATGTTAAAAATAGATTTTTACAGGTGTATTGACCTTATTCTATAGACAGATGTTATTTATAATTGATAGAAACATAATCTTTGATGGAGTTAGTGGTCAGTTGGGTCAAGGTCACCAGTGCTAAAAATAGATTTTTACACATTTGCTCATACAGCCTTTATTAAGTGACAGATATATTTTATATTTGGTAGGAAGATAACTTGCATGGTATTCATCCTTTTGATTGGGGTAGGGATCAGTGGGTCAAGGTCACTTGTGCTAAAAATAGATTTTTACACTTTTGCCCATACAGTTTTTATTTATTGACAGTTGTATTACATATTTGGTAGGAAGATAACTTACATGGTATTCTTTTGGATAGAGTTAGGGGTCAGTTTGGTCAAGGTCACCAGTGCTCAAAATAGATTTTTACACTTTTGCCCATACAGCCTTTATTAAATGACAGATGTATTTCATATTTGGTAGGAAGATAACTTGCATGAAGTTGAATATTTTTCAACTTCACAAGTCAGAGCAATGACTTAGCAACTTATATTTTTCACAAATACAAAATGCCATGACTTTGTCAAGCTATAAAACTTGTGTTTACAATTTTTTGGCGATTTTTCTGTCCATAACTGAGTGAATGGGTAAACATTTTTTTGAAGTATTGCTACTGACAAGAATCTGAGCCGGGGGCATTTGTGTTTAACAAACACGTTCTTGTTTTTCCTCTCATACAATCAATATAATTATCATAAAAGTAATAAAAAATTGTTTTTATAAGAAACTTTAGAATGATCGTAAACATGTTTGTTTTTCAGATCTCCCTGTGGGGAAACAAGTGCGACTTGTCAATCTCAGGTGGTCAGGACAACGCACAAACTTCCTGTCCGTTAGATCAAGTAAACAAACTCAGGCAGTTCATACTAAGAGATGACCTCGACCAAGTCTGGCAGCATTTAAGGTGAGCTGGCTTTCTTGGAATATTCTGGTTCCTATAGGTTTGGCTGTATGTTACTTTGTCCTGGTTGACATACCCCTGGGTCAGAATTGTCAATGTCACAAGGGTCACCTTTTTCTATAGACTTGTATAGGAAAACACAAATCTTGTGGAAATTTACAATGCCCAGAGCTTGTATATTTGGCATGTAATGAATCTCTATTTTGTAAATCATGCAGGTTGTCACTTGAGTAAACTGTACTCAACTAATATAAAATGAGCCGCATCACAACAAAATCAACATAATGGGTTTGCGACCAGCATGGATCCAGACCAGCCTGCGCATCGGCGCAGTCTGATCATGATCCATGCTGTTCGCTATCAGTTTCTCTACTTTTAATAGGGTTGGTAAGCGAACAGCATGGATCCAGATCAGACTGCGCGGATGCGCAGTTTATGCTGATCGCAAGCTCATTATGTTGATTTTGTTGTGACGGTTCATTTGATTTTATATACATGTCCTTGCATCTGCCTTTAAAGTGGATAGGTCTACAATGGGCTCATTTTCCATTAGTATTTCAAATATTGATAAAAACTAAAGAAATGTATCATTGTTGATTTTTAGCTTTGTCACCTTTGATATTTTAATAGTTTCCTTTCCTTTGACTGATTATTGTAATGTCCAGTAATGTCTACTAATGATGTTTATTATTAATAATCATCTGATAGTGATGCTTGCTTAAAGCTGCAAGTCTCCAGATTTGTGAAAATTTTTAATAAACTACTAAAAAGTGTTCTAATGGGTAAAAATGTGGTAAGATGACTATTACAGTATATTTATATAAATATAAAGATACCTCTTCTTTGTTAGTAACAGGATAGGACTTTAGTGATAAAAATAATAAATTGTATTAAACTTTGTTTTAGTATATAAAAGTTTTATGTTTATTTGTTGTTGTTTTTTGTGGTTTTTTTTTTTAGTATTTACACATTTCTTAAAGTATATTTCTTAAGGTATTAATGAAGACTGTATCTTTACTTTATAACTTGCTTACTACACAAACTATAATAAAATATGAATAAGTTTTCTAGAGTTTGATTTTTTTGAAGATTTATTTTTTTTCTTATCTGAAGGCATGCCACTACAAGCCTAGAAGCCTTAATGTTGTTCATTTTCTGTATTGACATTTGTTTCAGCTCTAAATCACCATCCAGGGTTGATATAGTTTTGGACAATGCAGGGTTTGAACTTATCACTGACCTTTGTCTGGCTGAGTTTCTTATCTCGGCCAAGCTTGCCAGTAGTGTGCATCTTCATGCAAAAGCGTTCCCATGGTTTGTGTCTGATGTAACAAAGGATGACTTTGACCATACATTCCAATTCTTTATGCAGAACAATAGCTTAGCCATGGACATGTTTCTGAAGAGATGGAAAGGGAGGATAGAAGATGGTTCCTGGGTATTTAAAGTTCATGATTTCTGGACATCACCGTTTGCCTACTGTGATATGAATAAATACATGCCAGAATTATATACAGACCTTGGCAATTCCACGCTTATTATTTTCAAAGGAGATTTGAACTACAGGAAGCTTGTAGGTGACAGGAATTGGCCTACTACCACACCATTTGAAGATAGCCTGTGCGGCTTCCACCCGGCACCTCTTTGTGCCTTAAGGACTCTGAAAGCAGATTTAGTGACTGGTCTGGAAGAGGGAAAAGCGGAAGAAGTTAAAGAACAGGATAGGAACTGGATGATTAATGGTAACTGGGCTGTGGCAGTTTACTGTGACAGAATTGTGCAATAATGTAAGCAAAAATTGTGGAATAATGTAAGCAAAAATTGCGGAATAATGTAAGCAAAAATTGCGGAATAATGTAAGCAAAAATTGTGGAATAATGTAAGCAAAAATTGTGGAATAATGTAAGCAAAAATTGTGGAATAATGTAAGCAAAAATTGTGGAATAATGTAAGCAAAAATTGTGGAATAATGTAAGCAAAAATTGTGGAATAATGTAAGCAAAAATTGTGGAATAATGTAAGCAAATAGAATGGGAATTTAAAGATTGTTTTGATACTGCTTCAATGTTTAGGGTTGAAAATGTACACTATTTTTGTGACTTAAATGCATATCCAGTGTACTTTTTAAGACTCAAAATGCTATTTTTTACATTTTCATTTTACAAAATAATTCCTGCTCTTGTATCAGTCAATCATGTTGTATAAGAGTAATATGGGAGTTTTGATTGTTGTTTTGGAATATCATGAAGTTTATATAATCTATATACACGGCTACTGTCCAATTATCAAGTAAATTTTTTCCATTTTTCTTATATAAAAATTCTTTACTATTATAAATTTGTTATAAAGTTTCCTGACAGGTTATATGGCTGTTTTGCAATATAATCATTGCCTAGTGGCTCATGTTATATTATTATATAAACATTCAACCATTTATACTGGCCCATAGAACCAAATCGTATTCAAATACAATTTAAGTCAGCTAAAAGCATTCTTGATATTTTTATTATTATTAGGCATTTGTAGATTTTATTTCAATATAACCTCCACATGCTGCTCTATATCATGCCATATTTTCTCTCAGATATAATTATATATTGTTAAACAGCTAACCAGTAATGTGCTAGTAAAGTGTTGATGTTTTTGACTTGCCTGTTTGTTTTCTTATTTACATGTTTTTGATATCCATATGTGATGAATCCATATGTGATGTTACATTTTTTGTTGTTGTTGTGGCTGTTGTTTACAATAACTTTTATCAATCTGGTGCCGGTATTGGACTTTCAGTCCTTAAAATCAGGTTGTCATAGTGCTTTTGCTTACACTTTCTAGTGGAATTTAGAAAAATACACTTTTTACATGAATTTCATTAAATATCTTTTGGTTATACTTTAAACTTAAAAATTCAGCTCTTAAATGCATATACATGTTGTAAATACACATTTTACATAATTAAAATATTGTTCAGTAATTAGAAATTCAGCTTTTAATAGTGCATATAGTAAATACACATTTTACCTAATTTCATAAAAAACACATGTAAAGATCTTTGTTTCAGTATTCTAGTTCCATTTTCCTAAAATAGATTAAAGTCCTAGTGACTTTTTTCCCAAATCATCTGGGTAAAAAAACTGGCTAAAGAAATGAGACATTTGGAATTTAAAATTAAATTTCACAATATTTGTTCAGGTTAATTTTAGAAGAGTTAATTCATTTTCAATTTGTTTCTCAATAAAATAACAAAAATAAATATAAACATGATAATTATAAATGTAAACAAACGGGTACATTACAAACAAAAGTAATGATAAACAGTTACATTAATAATAAAAAATAATATAACAAATAATAATATGACAAAGAATGATATTACAAAGAATACTATAACAAGTAATAATGTTACAAAGAATATTATTACCAAAAATAATATTACAAACGAATAAAATTACAAAGAATAATATTTCAAAGAATAATATAACAAAGAATAATATTACCAAAAAAAAAAACAACAAAAAAACAATAATATTACATACAATTGTATAACAGACAATCACATAACACATAATAAAATAACAATTCAATTCAATATTTGTTCAATTCAATATTTTATTTGACTAAACCATAAATGTTCATTGCTAATATACCATATAAAACAAACAAAAATATAACTCTGAAATAACAAACAATAATATAACAAACAAAAATATAACAAGCAAAATAATAGAATCCATGAGAAATTGTTAAAGTTCTTAATGTTACAACACAATGTTACAGAGATATGCATGTTTTGTAGAATATTGGAAGTAAAACTTGTTACAGGATGGTTTATGAGGGCTTTTTTCTTCTCAATATAATTATAATTATTAGTGTCTTTGCATTGTCTTGTACTCGTATGTAAGTTTTCTACAGTATTCATGCTTATACCTCTATACTTCAATATTTTATTATTTATTATCTTTTATAAAATATTTCAATCTACATTTTCAGAGTGATTAAATTTAATTATAAAGAAGTTTTGTCTTTATATTTAGCTCATTTGAACACACAGTGCTTAATGGTACATTGTGATGGTCTTGTTATGATCACCAGAGGTCAGTCCCTATTCTGAATTTCTTTAAATCATCCTCTGTCCCCCAACAAATTTATAGTGTAGATTTGACCAAACTTTTCAGAAATGTTGCATAAATTGTATATGTTTTTTTTTGTTAAATGAATCTTTGAAAGTCTTGTCAAACACTTCAATATGTATGAAATGTAGAATTATGTAGTGGTCCTCTACAAAGGCTACATAAATTATGTATTTGCATCGAACTTCTAGGCTAAGTGTCTCTTCTATGAAAGACCCATTTAAATATTTTTGTGTGCAAGACCATAGTAATTTCACATGTATTCCTCTGCGCATCCGTTGAAGGTCGAATGTTCAACTATCGCTCACTTTCTTAACATGACTGTAATCACTGAACTACGAAGGGAGCTTATTAGTCCCCTACCGGCTTACCGGAGGGGACTTTAGGTTTACCCTCCGTCCGTCAGTCTGTCCGAGCCAACATTTGATTATTATGAGCTTCATTCCGTAGTTAAATAAAGAACATAAACTCATAAAATTTAAATTAAGAGCTATTTTTTAGTTTTTATGAGCTTATTTTGCTTATGGACGTTGGTCCAGGTGGTGTTTATGAGCTCATTTGCCTCATAAACATCAAATTTTGGTACATCCGTCCACAAAACTGGAAAACGCAAAAAGTACTGAAATTTTTTCATGAAACTTGATATGTGGATAGATGGCAGTATGGAGATTATGCACGTCTTTTTTTTTTCTTCCTATGTTGAAAATTCTGGTTGCTATGGCAACAAATAGACTGAAAAAATGGCAAATTTTACACATAACCTGGATCCAGTGATAACGCAAAAAGTACTGAAAATATTTTTATGAAACTTGAGACATGGGTAGATGGCAGTCTGGAAATTATGCATATCCTTTTCTTTTTTTCCTATGTTGAAAATTCTGGTTGCTATGGCAACAAATAGACTGAATTTCAAGATTTCTGATTCAAGTTTTTACGTTTTTTCACTATAAGTTCTTTTATTTCTTAAGGTATTTTCTTCAAACTTTAAATATAAGTTTATAGTCATCAACCACATCATATGTGACAAGGTTAACAACTCTAGCACAAAATTTATCAGAATTTCCTCCCTTGAACTTAGATTTTTCATGAAAAAAATATTGTTTTTTTTTTTTAATAACTTCTTTTTTTCTGAATGCATCTACTTCAAACTTCATATATATGTTTCTTCTTATCACTCAACATTTGTGAGAAAGTTCAACACTCTAGCAAGACTATTTCCAGAATTATGCCCCTTTTGAACTAAAACTTTTTTCGAGAAATTGGTAATTTCTACTCTAACTTCTTCAATCATTATAGGATTTTCTTTAAACTCCCACATCATAATAATATGACAAGGTTTATAAAGCTAGCATCCATATTTCCAGAATTATCTCCTCCTTAATTTTTGAATTTTTCTTATTTTGCTTTTAAAAATGTTATATTTTGATGACAGGGATGTTTAAAAAAATAACTTTAGAGTGTCCTTCAGTCTGTCTGTCTGTCTGTCTGTTCATAAATACTGTTTCCTGTGATCACTTTTATTGTTTTAAAGAATTTTTTCAACAAATTTACTTAAAATAGAAACATAAGTGATTGTCCAATGGCCCTTTAGAATGTTGCTGGGGTTCTAACCAGTAGGGGACTTATGGATTGCTTGCAATACTATGATAGTTGCTTGTTTCACATGTTTCACAACTTAATTTCTGGTGCTATAAACAAAAGTGATATAACTTTTGCCATCGGAGACAATAGTACTCGTTCACCGGTAAGGATTCGTTCACCTCCAGTCCAGGTTCACCTCGGAGTCATTTTTTTATAAACTTTATTAGAAAAACAACTTTAATTTTTATCCCCCCTGTATTTAAATGCATAAAGCTGATATACATGTACTTAAAATACTTACAGCATTGTGTAACGGTTCTGAACAAAAGTAATATTAATCATGTCCCGGGGGTTACAAATAGAAAACCATTCTCATGGAGTCTTTTGTTAATACTTGTACTCTATGAACCTTCTTTGAAATAACAAAAACTCAGATCTTAGTCGTTTAGTATGCATCATTTTCTTGAATTTATTAAAATCATGCTCAAGTGTTTAAAAAATACTCGGCCTTAGGAGTAACTTTTGTGATAAAGACTTTTAGATTAAAGTTTGTAAAAAAATCAAAAACTGAAGAAAAAAACTTTCAATATTCGCTATGTAACATTTTGTTTGACATTATTCAAAAATAAAAGTTTTATGACCCTGGGGGTCAGAAATGGCCTGCCTTTGTATTAACTATGGGTACGTAGACCTACATAGGTAAAATAGATATAGAATATATTATATTTTTCCTGGAATATCAAGACAATGAATAAGATGAACGGTTTGTATACTGTATAGTTGGCTTTTATAATGATAAAAGTGAAAATCACGACCATTTAGTGTAAAAATTCACCCCTTTCATTTGTCAAAGGAGCGATGTAGGTCCGCTTTGTTTGCTGTTTGAAAGTTGAAGTTTTCATGACCATTTGATTTCTATCAAGCTTTGCAGATATAGTATCTTTGCCAGCAATATTGAGTGAAACTTCAAGCAGCATGCCTCCAGATTCTTGCTAATTGTCATGAAATTTTTGTAAATGTATTAAAAAGTAAAATTTTGTGAAGGGAACAAACAAAATAATTTTTACATACATCCAAGCTAAATAACCAAAAAAAGAGGTCAAAATATGCAAAAACACCCTTAATTACTGAGTTAGTAATGCAGTAGAAATATGGTGAAAAATACTTCAAAATCGGTCATAAATCCCACACATAACATGGAAGTTATTTCTTTTATCTTGAATCTTCTTACTTTTCTTAAACTCTCAGTACGTTTTTCTCAAGTTTGATTTTCTTGAAATATTTTGGCTTATCTGGAGACATGCAGTCATTATCGTACAGACTCTTGCACAATTTCCGGATTTATCTTAACCATATTGATACTGAAATCCATCTACATGTATATTACCTGTATGGGAACAAGTCTTCAGACATTTGCCTTTTTTTCTACTACCGAAAGCTCTCTTTTTCTATATAAAACCAATTTAAATGCCGGTAATACTAAATTCAGTGTTATATTTTAACTTGCGCCTATATGCTTGCAAATTCCAAGTACAAAACTGGACATCGTCCATTACATAAATTCAGTCGGCTTTAAAGTTAAAGAGAATATAATTAGCGTCCTTAAGTCATGCCACGCGCCTGTTAATCGGTCAATATGGCGTTAATA